TTTATTATTATTGTTATGTTGGGTTTGATGAACTGTCAATAGAATTTGGACATCTTGCTTATCACTGGTGGCRACTTACTGGCTCATACCTATACCTGTAATTCTAATTAGGTGATCTAATAGATTTAAGCAGACGACACTTTTGATATTTGGCGGTTTTAAATCATACATGTTTCGGCAGGTTCGACTGCCATCATCAGTGATGGTAAAGTWAAGTGAGATTACAAAATATATAGCAGAAGAAAACAATGGGTGATAGTACAATGGTAAGAAGACTAATGTACTAATTTAAGATTAACATGATGTACTTGTTGGTTAAGTGTTGGCTTAAGCCATTGAATGTGTAATGCTTCCTTGATTTTTAGTACAGTACATGTATCTAGGTGATCGTTTAAAAGAAGCACTAAAWCTACTGAGTTTATGCAATAATGAAACTTGTATTAAAAGGAGTTAGTKCCCCATACCTCAAGCAGATATTGCAGCTGTTGGCGTTCAGTAAGAGGGTAGGTTGGCCAAGCTCCTTCCTTCCCTGCCGAACCATTAGGAGATGTTTTCACTGTGGGAGAAGTAGCTACAGGAGTGGCCATCTTTTTTGGCTTTACCACAGGAATGCTTGACATCTTCTTAACTAAAAAACATGAATAATAGATGAGGGAATATTTCATGTTAATGTGTGTTTTTTTTTTAATTGATAAAGCAGAAAAAATCCAAACCTTTGCTTTGACCACCACTAGGCCCACTTTGAAGAAACAGCTTTCGTTTTGAACCAATGCGACTGCTTTTCTTCTTGCTGGTAGATTCCTTAAAGAAAAAAGAAAGAAAAAAAAAGAAAAGTAAAAACAAAGATTAAGGGCRAAAAGCATTTTAATACCTCTAAATAATGAGTAAGCAGTGCACTGAATTCCTGAAAAATCTTCGAAGCAAAGAAGAGAACCAACATGCAATTTTTACTCRCATACGACGAGGAAACTGTGAATCTAACCCAGGCTGCCTTGGTGAGAGGTGACAAGCTCTCACTTCTAGGCCACCTTAGCTTCCCATGGTCTTGTTACTTTTGTGACATTTAATTTGAAAAGTATTCCTCAAAGTCTTTGAATTTTTTGCCTTTTTTAATTTGCCATCTTTTAAGTTATAATTATTCACAAATAATTAATATATAGAGTATACATGTAAGTGGCCGTGTTGTATCCGATATACAAACTTTAGGTGTAGCCTCAAGTTTGTATATTGGATACAACATGGACACGAATACTATATATTACTTATCAAACGTCTACAGTAGGTTAGTTCCTTCGTGTTCCACTAAAATTTTCAAGATAAAAGTGAGTCTGCCCAAGAAAATCCAAGTTAAATTTAATGCAAATGAACACGATTCGGTATCTGATTTACAAAACTCTTCACGGTTGTGATAGCTGTTGTGTTTTCCTCATGAATTATTAATGAGCTTGATAATAATAATAAACGTTTGCCATTGCCTCACCTTCTGAGGAGTTCTGGGTTCATCTTCAACTTTTTCTCCTTCAGTCTCAGGTGTTGTATACAAGGATATTGAACCATCTATGGCAGAAGTATTGATGGACTTATTACATGCTGGAGTAATAGGAGCATCAAGGCTCGTAGGTTCTAGTGTTGATACCATCGTTGCTAAAAGATTTATGCAGTCCTGCGAAATACAATACAATACGATACAACCTTTATWTRCTCATAGGGAGAAGAATAATACATAAAAACAKTTAGTACTAGAAATCTATTACAATCATGCAGGATATATATACATATATTTACAAAGAAAACAAATGAAAGGAAATAGAACAATAATTGTTCTCAGAAATACAATGATGTAAAATCTAATGCACTATTAGTTGAACTATAATAYCTTATTTATAAGATTGGTTTAATTCATTTTTTTCATCAATGTTATTCTTATTCTACTAAAAATTTAGTGTATTTTGAAGAGAATGTTAATTGTGATGGTCCTTTAGAGTGGGGGCATCTGGCCACCATTTGGACAGTGGTCTGGTTTAAATAGTTTTTTTTAAAGAAAATGGAAAACACTGGTTYTGACGGTAAAAAAGTGGTCTGGTTAAGACTGTACTGGTGGCTATGGTCCTAGGAACTCCCCTTRGGTCTTGGCCAAGGACTACCCATAATATTATTTACAATCATAAATTTAAGAATTTGTATTATGTTATTAGGTAGTTAAATATCATTTCTGCAGTTTTCGATATTCTGTGAACTCAGACATTTCAAAGGCTTGATATGAAATTGGTTTTTCACTGCCGCCAGTAAACAACATAACAGGTACCRACTGATTACTGTACTTTTTATAGATGGCAGCRAAAAACTAAACTTCAGCATTTTGTAACTACTGAGTTYGCAGAATATCGAAAATCCTAGTAAGTAAAGGGAAAAAAGATTATAATAATTATCATTGCTACAATTGCAAGTGTGAAAGATTTACCATGACTTTGGGAATAYGCTCAGAATGACTTTGTGTTAACTAGACATGTAAAATATTGGACCCATGGCCTAATATCTTAACAGAGAAACTAAAAATAAGGAAAAATAAGGGGATTTTATAAATCTTGTCTATAGTACTATTGAATCAGACAATCACATGCGTAAACAGCSAGCCAAGGTATAAGCTACGTTGGCATAGCAACCTTAAATTTTAGGGAACATTTTACCCTTAATAAGTGAGCCGTAAAYATTCAAGTATGCCTAGATTTAATAACATATGTAATTTTGTATTCCTTAGCCATTTGGTTTCGAATTTTGTGTGTCCTATAATATTGTTTTAGTTGTAGATCGATTAAACAGAAGCTAGATGGAAGTTTAAGCATTCAAAGGGAAGGGTTTGAATGACGTTTTTTGACGCTTTGTTCATTTGATTGCTTTGATATATTGAATTAATATTCGCTTAAATGAAAATTGAAGCTAAGAGATCAAGCGATACCTAAGCAGTGCTATCCTAACTCATAAAGAACGATTATATGGACTCTGGGTTCAGATATCCAATAAGTTTATGTTCGTGCAAACGCTATTTTAGCTTAACAATGATTCCAAAATGAAAGGACGCCATGAATTGTATAGCTAAAATTACTTGCATAGCTGAATAAATTTGAAGAAAACAAGCTTTCAGACAGACGTTGGTTAGTAAAACAGAGTCAACATTTTAAGATCTTACCTTTAGGGTCCTTGCTAACAGCTAGTGGTCGAGATCGGCTGATATTTGGACTATGTAAGGGCAAGCCCAAAATAGAAAATACTGAAACAGAATCTCAAGACGCCATGATATACAAAACAAACGGCCTTCAACAGGTTAGAAACCAAYCAGGCGAAAATATGCCGAAATATTGCACGACCTCACCCCTGAATGCCAAGATAAGGTGATGAAACTTGAAAATAGAGAATTAAGTACTGTTTAATTAGAGAGTGAAGGAYTTATGTGTTGTGTGCTGAAGAGTGAATGCGAACAAAGAATCGTGCTTCCCGCCAAAATGAAAGCGTCATCCGGGAACTTGGATGACGTGAGAAATCTGGAACGGAATATTGGAACGTCCGGATTGCTGGACTACCTGGAAAAGCGAATTTCCTAGTCACTTAGTTAATTGCCTGGCATCTACGTAATTTCTATTTGAAAAAAATCATGAAAAAATGGAATAAAAGGGAATTTACGGAAGCTTCTAGGGGACATGCGAGATGGGAGTTGATTTATAAATTAAATGCGAGATGCAACGTTAATTTTCTTTTTTTTTTCCTGGCTTCTTGGGAAAATCTATTGCTAGCTAGATTTTCTAAATTAACTGACGCATTAGTCTTTGAGTCGCATTAGAGTGAAGTCATTTAACCCGTGAAATAGCTATTAGACTAATACACATTAGTAGACCCTAATTCCATTTGTCTTCTTTTGTGTCTATTTGACTATTTGACTTGTCCGAGAAGATCTGAAGGTCTAACCATTTACAGATATAATTTCAAAGGCAGCACCTTCTCCTCAGTTATTTTAAGACCCTGAGAGTTGATCCGGCCGAGGCTTGAACCACGACCTCCCGCACAACAGACCGACGCTCTTACCAACTGAGCTAACCGGGTGGCGGTGTGGTGGGGGAATCTTCAGTACCGAGACGCGAGTCTTAGAGCGGCGAGGTAAATATTCTCCGATATTCACTGCGGCTGAGGCAAATAATTGTTAATTAGTAGAAATACACAGGTGGTTCTTTCCGAAAAGAAAAAAAAGAAGATAAAAGACACATTTAAAATTAGGAAAAATTTTAATTGAAGTGACAAACGCAGCTTTCAATGACAACACAGGCGAACTCCGACTTTGCGAATCAAAACAGTTTGTTTAAGCCTATTTGATTGTTTTAATCCTTTTTTTGCCTTTGAACAAAGTTAGTGCAAATTTGTTAGCCTCTTTATTCCTTTTGGGGACATCATTTTCTTTCATTATTTCTTATTTTTCTCCGGTAACAGCAACAAAGCGGCTGGTCGCCATTTTGGATTATCGCTGGATGTAATTATCGTGTGATAGTGTGAATTTCTCGACCAATCAGCGCGCGAGATTTTCAATAATCACTTGTGTATTTTTACTAAAATGTATTAAAATTGTGAAGAGTTGTTGAACTCCTGGAATTGACGCTATATAAAATATTATCATTATTATTACTATTATCATTATTATGTACATTTTTATTTAATCTGTAAGATAAGTTACACTTTACAACTTTGCGGGATAACCTAGGCTAAGCTGCTATTAGTGTCTTTCTTAATATCTTATTGTCATTCCTTATCATACTAACAATTACACAAGTTCTCTCTTCCATTGTTCATTCTTGCATAAGTGTTTTTAATAGCGATAAAATTGCTTTACGATTTTTACGATTATTATTATTATCATTATTATGGGGAACTTTATTGATAAAATCTCACTAAATGTATCAACATCATTACGAGCTTAGCCTAGGCAATGTGGACTAAGTATACTATATAGTATTTACATAATTATAAAAGTAATAAATAAAAAAATAAAATAAAATAAAATTTTCAATAATCTATAAAATGGGTATGCTACAAAACAGAAAAAAAAATTAAAGCTAAAATATGCTAAAAGTTATCAATTGAGTATATAGTACATGAAGCTAAGATGAACTTTGAGTTCTTCAAAACTAAAATGAGTCTCTCTTAGAACTACAAACACATAAAACGTTTAACAAAATGTTTATTTCAACTTCAGACATTTTTGCWACGTGAATACAAAATATTGCGGGCATGAATAGTCTAAGCTAATATCTAATGTGTCGTAATAGATAATTTTATCACCGTAGGTACAAAAGATAGACTGACGTTTCGGACGTTAGTCCTTCGTTAGTGTTTGACTCCGACGAAGGACTAACGTCCGAAACGTCAGTCTACTATCTTTCTTACCTACGGTGATAAAATTATCTACTACGACATATTTGATTCAACTAAAAAACACCGACGCAGTCCAAACTAGTTCCAAAACTAGTCGTCATCTATATATAAGCAAAYATCYGCATGACTGATTTTAAAAAGATGTATACAAATTTAACAACTGTACAGACGTTTCACAATCTCACAGTTCTGTGAAATAACCCATTTCTGACACTTTCTTACAATTTCTAGTCCTTCAGTGAGGCCTACATCAGCCACTTATTTATTTTTTCCCCGTATTTTTTTTTTTTACTTGTTTTCGTAATCGTTTTGTGTTGTCGTTTCACTTAGTGGCAAAGGATACCGGACCGCGCGCGCGCGGGCAGATACTGACAAAATACCGCCCGCTCAAACAGCCAATCAGAACGCACGATTTTTTAGGATACCGGACCGGAAAAAAATAATTGATATTATCATATAGGATTAATTAACAAATAATAACTATTTTAGAACGATTTCTTTTTAGGGAAAAAAGCTTATATATTCCCGAATACTGTGAACAAACGGAGCAACTTTTCAGTCTTTTATGAAGCCGAACAAATACCTAAAACAATAGGTTTCCGAACCATTCCGCTCCATTAACTATTGTAAGTCTGAAGTGAAGTGTTCAATAATGCATTATTCATCGTGTATTATTTCACATAAATCACAAACACAAGCCATCCAGCACTAGTTCGTTGCAAACCGTCTCCCAGTGTGGCACTACGAGAAGATCAAAGAAGTTGTTGAAAGAAAACCAAAGTCAAATGTAAGTTCAACTTAACCTTTATTAGTTTCATTCTTGAGTTCTCTTGGAGTTGTACAGTTAATTGAAAATCGTACTCCATCCAAAGAAAAAATATATATTGCTCTTTTTCTCCACCAAGAGACCATGGTCTCTTTTATCTCTATAATCATACCTACTGATTAATATTCTCGCAACAGACTTTAATTCTTGCTTGCCGTCAAAGATTTTCAGTAATTTTACAATATCGGTAAAAAACAGTTTTTTAATTTATGAAATGTGTTTTTGTCACTCGGTATGTTAAGTGTATGCTACATCGAGTGTATAAGCAGATTAAAAAATCTGCCTCAGTTGGGTTCTCGCGGGACTCGAACCACTGACCTCTCGTTTGCTAGATCTATCTCAACCGCTCGGCCACTGGGCTTTATATAGTTATATAAAAACATTATTAATTATGATTATTTTTTCTCGATCGACAGTCGAATCATGAAGGGCCTTGCTTTGCTGTTGGTTGTGCTAGCTGTGCTTGTGGTGGACGCGTATGAAGATGACCCATACGAAGATAAAATGATGGCTGAGGACCAAGAACTAGAGACTCGTGCATGCAAAGCATGGCATTCAGAGTGTAACAGCGCGAGCGAGTGCTGTAAGAAAAAGCCAGGCGCCCCTCAAGGACAACAGTACGAAATGAAATGTTTAAAACCCTGCACACCCGAGAAATGTTCTGCAAAGGGACAATGCTTGCCGACTAGAAGAAGCTGAACGTTTTAAATCTTCCAATTAAGTAATAATGTAAAGTAAACTAGAACTTCACACGCTTTAGTAACTAATGTAGTATAGTTTGTCGTGTAAATGTCTTCAACTCAGTTTTTTCTCGCTCAAGTCAGTGTCATAATAAATATGTCAGTGCAAGTTCCAGGTTTTTGTTTTGCTGTTGTTTCGTACCCGGGGCAGCTTCAGGTTTATTAATTTGCAATGATTTTCAGCAGGGTATTACCGGCTCTAAAAGGTAATCAAAAATAAGTTAAAAACCCATGAAAAGTACGAGGAGTATCCCCCTCTCCCTGTCACACGCATACAAAGAACACTAACATGTCCATCTCGGGTCCAATTCATTTGTATGATCCACCTTTTTGTAAGTAGACGATAAACATTAGTACGATAAACATTAGTAATGAAAGTCAAGAAGATACCACGAGTAACACCTTCTTCTGTCTAGGATCTCCCATGCTTATCAATGTATGATCCACCCT